ACTCATTCATTTACTGCACTGGGATTAGATTATCCTTCAGTAAAACTTGATTTGGAGCTTTAGAAAAATCAATCAGATATCATTATTTTTTCTGTAAGATACCAAATTGTGTTTTGGTGACCTCCGCTATCATTTAAATGACCCATGTATGAATTAGTCAGGATGAGCTTCTGCAGCATGGTATTGGACTGTTTGCTCTCGTTACTCTCTTTAGATTTCATAAACACTTTTTACTCCCTTCGTGTGTGTGTGTGTGCGTATGTTGTAGCTACTTAAGCCCCTACCCACTTACAATCTATGTAAGATAGGTTGGATTCTTGGCTTCTTTAGTTTTAAGAAATGATGAAATTGAGGTTCTGTTTCTAAAACCTCCAAATAGATCACTTTTATGATTTGTTGGCTTCAGGAATTTTAGGTTTGATCCACATGTTTATTCAACCTTAAACATACCTAGCTCCTGGTTGCACTTATTTGCCAATTACTTTATGGCATTCTCCATAGTTCTTTGCTTTAGATCTGTGGGATTGTTTTTGTCTTGTTGCATTTGTGTTTCCCTTAAAGATATATCTATTATTCAAATATAAAAGTGACTTAGGAAAGAACATTCCAAATTTTATTTAGAAATTCACCAAGCCACATACTAATGCATCTCTAATGGGGACATTTCTTCTCACACCTCTGAGGTGATTGAGCCTGTCCTTTAAAGTGAGATTTGCAAACCAGTGTCTGGCAGCTCCAATTAGCTTCTTTTGGGTTTGAAGCACATCAAAAACAGTAACAAGGTCTCCTAGGACACTCCTATTGCAAGCGATGTAGTCATATTTCCTCATTAGTTCTTTTCAATTGTCACTAATGCCATGTTCTAGCTTTTGAGTAGGAGACAAAAAAACATAAAAATTTGGTATGTATGTAGAATGGGCCATTGTTTTCCATAATTCAAGGCTCTTTTGAATTTCTTTGATAGTTTTGAAGCTTACACAGCTTAATTCATTAACCTTTACCCTTCACATAAATCATATGATTAGGAATCTATTGCTAAAGAGACAGATTTTCCCTCTACTGAAAATAAGTAATGCCTTCTTATCTTTAAAAAAAATTCTATCTAGCTTACAAAAGTAACCTTTCTGTTGTTTTTCATATTTCATCAAATGTTTCAGGTGCATTTTAGAACATTATCAAAAGCAAGTGAGCATAAAATTACATTATTATCAAAAATAACTCTGGATGCTTAGGATACTTTGGAGCAGGTTTTCTGGCCCTTTTTCTGTATTCTAAAAGAGTTTATATATATATATGTACTCAACAGCTGTTACTCAAGAATTTACAATGGTAGCAATGTTTTTTTTTTAATTCTCTTCAGACCCCTGCCAAAACATAAAAGCAGGAAAATAAACTGAGGGTAGGCAATTCAGAATAAATTAAAGTATATTTAAAAGATCCTAAGATATTTTATTTGGAGAACTTTCTCATATGAACTTATCTTGTAGAGAATGATGATGTATGGCTCCAAGAAATGTATGTGATTGTTCGTTGATTTCCTGGAGGGGAGACTAGAATGTGTGTCTTTTGATTCCTTTATTCTCTCTTGTTAAGACAGATCTCTTCTTATGGTTTAGTAGTCTTAATTGTGCTTTACTTTCAAGAGCTACTTTAAAAGTATTTTATATTCTTCAGCATTTATCCACTATACCATTTTCCCATGTTATAAATTTTTCTTAATTATCTTATACATTGTTACTTTCTGTAAGGTGACAGTCCTTTTCCAAAATTTTATAACTCCTTATGTTATCATATATGAAGTGGGAAATTTTTGAACCTACTGATCGATAGAGAATGTTGGCCATATGATATTCTGAGCTTTGTCTATAGAATGATGGGCCAAGGGGTTGGGGAAGAATAGGAAAAATTTGAATTCTAGATTCTGAGTTTAGAGATTCATGACTTGCTCCTAGGGACCAAATTAATTCATCACTATATTAATGAATATTCTTCTATGTGATATCTGTGAGTGAGAAAGGTGATGAAGAAGTAAACATCTATCACCCTCCTTCTCGCTTCAAGATGATCACTTTGCACACATTTCTCTCTTTTATTGGTATCAATTTATAAATACCTCTTAACTTGTATCTATAGTCCATACTAAGATTTATGAGTTTGTTTTTGCATACATACTATACAGTGAACTGGGAATTGCCCTGATTTTAATACACTAAAGGTTATGACTTGAGCCAAGATTCTTTGTAAAACAGTGGAATTATTTGAAGTAAATATGTTCACAGATTTGTGTCATGTACTACTTGCAAATATGTTATAGAATGGACTCTAAAAGCTTCAGGCAAAAAGGACAGACACCACTTACGATCTCTCCACATGCTGTCACCCGTGCTGCCTGGGAAACGCTACATAGATGGATTATAAGACTTCAGGCACTAGCCAGGAACATGAGGTGGTGTTCCATTTCTACCAATTTGCAGTAATGGGATAATACAAACCACTTCCGTTTTCAGTTCTCAAAACAACAGCTACTTTATCTACTTATTTCAACCACTCAATTTTGTGTTTTAATATATATGAAGTTTCTGTCCACAATCACAGAACTTGGGGTTTCTCCTCTGCATGTAAAATCCATAACAGATACAAAATTAATATTTTGTTACAAGTCTTCCAAGGAGTATGATTTTGTCTCCATTAATTTTTATTTCAGGAATAGTTCTATGATGTTGTACCTGACTTTTGGCACACTGGCTGTGATCAGGATAGTTAAAAGTATTTGGAAACCTTGTGTACCTAAACTTTCAAGAGCAGAGCAAAAGTCCTACGTGATTCTCTATAAAAAGCAAATTGCTTTTCTTTTATATTTCTCCCTTTTTTGTCTGAAAAGCATTGTTCACTCTTAATAATGTGTTATCTGTTGGCTATTGTATTGCCTCCTGAGTATGCCAAATGATTTTATAATATGTATTCATGATTGTCTACACCTCTTGAACTTTTCTCTGTCAATAAGTGGGAAACCTGATGTTCATGACCTTTTATCAGTTTTAGGACAGTCTTTATTCAGTGATTGATCATCTTATTTTATATAAATGTTGGTTCTTGTTGCCTATGCATTAACATTTGACTTGGCTTGTACAGTGAAGTCAATTTGTGTCATTTGCTATTTGTAGTTATCTGTATGTCTTTAGTGTTCATATGTGCTTATATCACATCTAATCTAAAATCAAGTAGAAGGAAGATAAATAGGATATCACATTTGTTTAGAGCATAATCAAATATAAATTAGGCATTTTGAACTATTTTAATAGAGCATAAGAACAAACTGCAATTAATGATTTTGGTGGCCATGCAAAATATTGGATCTGTTAGGTTTTTTATAATAAGAAAATAGATACATTCAATTGAACAGAAAGAAATCAGATTACTTTTTAATGATTTAGGATATTACAATCATCTGGGGCCTTTATTTAATACTCTTAGCATGTAAAAATAGTTTTTACCATATAAAATAACTGTATAAAACATGATTATTATTGGTAATGTTTCATTTCTGTTTTTATCCTTTTTAAATGAATTTATTCAAATATTATCTTAAAACCATATGACGTGGAATTAAGTTTTAAAATTTCCCTGACAACCGGTATCAGTCATAATTGGATTGTGTTACTGTTTTAAGTTTCCTATTTTAGACATGGAAAAACCTATCCATTTATGAAAAGATTTTTTTCATAAATGTTTTTTAATAGTGAAAAAAATTTATGAAAATATTTTTTCATAAATATTTTTTTAATAGTGAAAAAAAGAATGTTTATTTGGTTATTCTGAGGAAATTTGAAATGTTTATCATTCCATTAAAATGAAATTCCATAAAAATATTTTAAAAGAAAGATGCCTTCTCTATAACTAATTTAACCTTCAATAATGAATTATGTGAAGTAAAATTGTATAAAACTTCCTGACATTTTATGAAGATTCCTACAAATAAGCCAGACAGCAAATAAAATATAGGAAAGACAGAGATGGATATTGAGTAATTTTTTGATAGATTATGCACACAGGTATCAAATTACTTGATCCTTTTTTCCTAGAAAAGGTTAATGACTCTTTTTGCTTTTACCCTTTACTTAACTGTTATTTATAAAGATTGAAACAGGGACTGCATTGAAGGGTGTATTTGCCTGTATGTCAGTATGACTGCACAAATTTTTCTGATGTTATAGGAAACTGAACCACCAAATGGATAATGTTTTTAATCATTATTTTTAAAGTTCATTCAATTCTGTAGTAAAACTTCCACTAAGACTATTAGAGCAGAGTACACCATTAAAAAAATAGTAATAACTTAAATGAAACTAGAAAAGACAGTCTTAAATATCTATATCTATATTGTTAAAATGGCCTAACCTATAATTTATTTAAAAATTAAGAATAACATATTTTAAAGTAAAAGATTTTAAAGTTATGTGTACATATTTTCTTTCATCTTTAATCTGTTAAAGTTATAGCTTTTTCGAATATATTTTTGTATTGTTTGGAATAAAATTTTGCAAAAAATATTATTTCAGTGTTACCTGATTCCATCATTAATAATTGAACCATGTGTGTATAACCATCTACCTATAATGACCATCTATATTCTACAGTTTTATTATAATTATTTTATATTATTTTATTATGTAAATGATATATATTCATTAAATAGCATATGTTTACTAGTCCTTTGTTACCAAATGTAACATTTCTTTTATGGGACTCTTTCTAAGCTCTTTGGTTTTAAAAGGTGCACTAGTCATAAATGTATTTAAATGAAGTCATTTAGGTATGAAAGCACTTCACTTTAAAGCAGAGAATATAATACCTTTCCTGAAACACTTTGAAAGAAGGTTGTTGACAGAATAGAACTGTGGCATTCATCAAATACTGACCTCTTCCTGTTACATTCAAACCCTTGCTAGTTTAACTTGAAATGCATTAGTATAACTCACCACATTTTGTGTGTGTTTCAGGTGTGTGGAGGTCATTGCAAAGGAAGGACAAAACCTGAAAGAGCTGTATTTGGTGTCCTGTAAAATCACAGATTATGGTAGGTAATGAACCATTGCCCTAATCCTTTTTAAGAATAAAAAGTTACAAAATCATTGAAAGTTTTTAGAAAGAAATCAAGAACTATATCATAGAGACTGTCTATCATCATTTATGCTGATTCTGACCATACCAAAAAATAAAAACAAAAAAATTCATGAGCTAAGAACAATAGTAAAATGAATATGCATATGAATTGATTGCCACATGCGATTACACACACATGTATGTGTGCGCACAAACACTCACACAAGATTAAAAATGTAGCTAAAAGAGGTATACAGTGAAAATAAGTTTCAGGACAATAAAATGTTGGGCATAATAAATATAAATAAGAAAATTATTACAGAGTTTATTTGCTTAATGTAATATCATGTCAAAGGCATATCTGCTGACATTCTAAATGACTAACTTCTTAATGCTTTAAATTCTGAAAAGCATTGGAAATGTTCATTTGTGGATATAGGAAGTAAAGGGTATACATTTATATGCAACATTTTGAATTATCTTAATTTTCAATATTCTTTTAAAGTGGAGAAAAGCAAATTGTTTTATACAATTATGAAAAATATGAAGTCATATTGTTGGAGTAATAAATAAAAATAACCTAGACCTTCCTTTTTTGTTTAATTTTATAAAATTTTTCTTAACCATTTGTGTATTTAATCTAATTATATAGTTTTAACCGGAAAATGTATTAGGCTTTAGAAGAGAATGAAAAGATTTTCTTTTAGCTTTTCTGATATTTATTTATTTATTTATTTATTTTATTACACTTTAGGTTCTGGGGTACATGTGCAGAACATGCAGGACTGTTGCATAGGTACATGGCAATTGTGGTTTGCTGCCTCCATACCCATCACCTATATCTGGCACTTCCCCCCATGTTATTCCTCCCCAACTCCCTACCCCCCCCCCCGTTCCTCCTCTAGTTCCCCCCCCCAACAGACCTCAGTGTGTGATGCTCCCTTCCTTGTGTCCATGTGTTCTCATTGTTCAATACCCACCTATGAGTGAGAACATGCACTGTTTTTCTGTTCTTGTGTCGGTTTGTGGAGAATGATGATTTCCAGATTGATCCATGTCCCTATAGAGGATACAAACTCATCATTTTTTATGGCTGCAAAGTATTCCATGGTATATATGTGCCACATTTTCCCTGTCTAGTAATCATCAATGGGCATTTGGATTGGTTCCAAGTGCTATTGTTAACAGTGCCGCAGTGAACATACGTGTGCATGTGTCTTTATAATAGAAAAATTTATAATCCTTTGGATATATACGCAGTAATGGGATTGCTAGGTCAGCTAGAATTTCTATTTCTAGGTCCGTAAGGAATCACCACACTGTCTTCCACAATGATTGAGCTAATTTACACTCCCACCAACAGTGTAAAAGTGTTCCTATTTTTCCACATCCTCCCTGGCATCTGTTGTCTCCAGATTTTTTAATGATCATCATTCTAACTGGCATAAAATGGTATCTCAGTGTGGTTTCGATTTGCATTTCCTTAATGACCAGTGATGAGCATTTTTTCATATGTTTGTTGGCCCCCATATATGTCTTCTTTTGAAAAGTGTCTGTTCATATCCTTTGCCCACTTTTGCATGGGTTTGTTTGTTTGTTTCTTGTAAATCTGTTTTAGTTCTTTGTAGATTCTGGATATCAGCCCTTTGTCAGATGGGTAGATTGCAAAAATTTTTTCCCATTCTGTAGGTTGCTGATTCATTCTAATGATTATTTCTTTTGCTGTGCAGAAGCTCTGGAGTTTAATTAGATCCCATTTGTCTATTTTGGCTTTTGTTGCCAATGCTTTTGGTGTTTTAGTCATGAAGTCCTTGCCTATGCCTATGTCCTGAATGGTTTTGCCTAGGTTTTTTTCCAGGATTTTTATGGTGTTAGGTCTTATGTTTAATTCTTTAATCCATCTGAAGTTAATTTTAGTGTAAGATGTCAGGAAGGGGTCCAGTTTCTGCTTTCTGCACATGGATAGCCAGTTTTCCCAACACCATTTATTAAACAGGGAATCCTTTCCCGATTGCTTGTTTCTGTGAGGTTTGACAAAGATCAGATGGTTGTAGATGTGTGGTGTTGCCTCTGAGGCCTCTGTTCTGTTCCATTGGCCTATTTCTCTGTTTTGGTACCAGTAACATGCTGTTTTGATTACTGTAGCCTTGTAGTATAGTTTGAAGTCAGGTAGCATGATGGCTCCAGCTTTGTTTTTTTGCTTAGAATTGACTTGGCTATGTGGGCTCTCTTTTGGTTCTATATGAAGCTTAAGGTGGTTTTTTCCATTTCTGTGAAGAGGGTCATAGGTAGCTTGATGGGGATGCCATTTAATCTATAAATTACTTTGGTAAGTATGGCCGTTTTCACAATATTGATTCTTCCTAACCATGAGCATGGAATGTTTTTCCATCTCTTTGTGTCCTCTCTTATTTCATTGAGCAGTGGCTGTAGTTCTCCTCGAAGAGGTTCTTTACGTTCCTTGTTAGTTGTATTCCTAAGTATTTCATTCTCTTTGTAGCAATTGCGAATGGCAGTTCATTCCTGATTTGGCTCTCTTTAAGTCTGTTATTGCTGTATAGGAATGCTTGTGATTTTTGCACATTGATTTTATATCCTGAGACTTTGCTCAAGTTTCTTATCAGTTTCAGGAAATTTGGGGCTGAGATAATGGGGTCTTCTAAATATACAATCATGTTGTCTGCAAATGGAGACAATTTCACTTCCTCCTTTCCTAATTGAATACCCTTTATTTCTTTTTCTTGCCTGATTGCTCCAGCTAGAATTTCCAATACTATATTGAATAGGAGTGGTGAGAGAGGGAATCCTTGTCTAGTGCCATATTTCAAAGGGATTGCTTCTAGTTTTTGCCCATTCAATATGATATTGGCTGTGGGTTTGTCATAAGGATACCTAGTTTATTCAGAATTTTTAGCATAAAGGCTGTTCAATTTTGTCAAAGGCCTTCTCTGCATCAATTGAGATAATCATGTGGTTTTTGCCTTTGGTTCTGTTTATGCAGTGAAGTACGTTTATAGACTTGCATATGTTGAACCAGCCTTGCATCCTGGGGATGAAGCCTACTTGATCATGATGGATAAGCTTTTTGATGTGCTGTTTCAATCAACTTGCAGTATTTTATTGAAGATTTTTGCATCTATGTTCACCATGGATATTGGCCTGAAGTTTTCTTTTCTTGCTGAGTCTCTGCTGGGTTTTGGTATCAGGATGATGTTGGTCTCATAAAATGATTTGGGAAGGATTCTCTCTTTTTGGATTATTTGGAAGAGTTTCAGAAGGAATGGTACCAACTCCTCTTTGTATGTCTGGTAGAATTTGGCTGTGAATCTGTCTGGACCTGGGCTTTTTTTGGGTGGTAGGCTCTTAATTGCTGCCTCAACTTCAGACCTTGTTATTGGTCTACTCAGGATTTCGACTTCTTTCTGGTTTAGGCTTTGGAAGATGTAAGTGTCCAGGAATTTGTCCATTTCTTCCAGGTTTACTAGTTTATGTGCATAGAGTTGTTTGTAATAATCTCTGATGATGGTTTGAATTTCTGTGGAATCTGTGGTGATATCCCCTTTATTGTTTTTTATTGCATTTATTTGATTATTCTCTCTTTTCTTTTTTATTAATCTGGCTAGTGGACTATTTTGTTGATCCTTTAAAAAAAAACAGCTCCTGGATTTATTAATTTTTTGAAAGTTTTTTGTGTCTCTGTCTCCTTTAGTTCTGCTGTGATCTTAGGTATTTCTTGTCTTCTGCTAGCTTTTGAGTTTTTTAAATCTTGCTCCTCTAGCTCTTTCAATTTTGATGATAGGGTGTCAATTTTAGATGTTTACTTGCTTCTCATGTGGGCATTTGTTGCTATAAATTTTCCTCTAAACAGTGCTTTAAATGTGTCCCAGAGATTCTGGTACGTTGTGTCTTCGTTCTCATTGGTTTCGAAGAACATCTTTATATCTGCCTTCATTTCATTGTTTATCCAGTCAACATTCAAGAGCCAGTTATTCAGTTTCCATGAAGTTGTGTGGTTCTGAGTTAGTTTCTTTATCCTGAGTTCTAGTTTGATTGCACTGTGGTCTGAGAGATTGTTTGTTATGATTTCCGTTCTTTTGCATTTGCTGAGAAGTGATTTACTTCCAATTATGTGGTCAGTTTTAGAGTAAGTGTGATGTGGTGCTGAGAAAAATGTATATTCTGTGGATTTGGGGTGGAGAGTTCTGTAAATGTCTATTAGGTTTGCATGGTCCAGGTCTGAGTTCAAGTCCTGGATATCCTTGTTAATTTTCTGTCTTGTTGATCTGTCTAATATTGACAGTGGAGTGTTAAAGCCTCCCAGTGTTATTGTGTGGGAATCTAAGTGTCTTTTACATCATTTGGAACTTGCTTTATATATCTGGGTGCTCCTGTATTGGGTGTGTATGTATTAGGATCATTAGCTCTTATTGCATTGATCCTTTTACCATTATGTAATGCCCTTCTTTGTCTCTTTTGATCTTTGTTGTTTTAAAGTCTATTTTATTAGAGTCTAGGATTGCAACTCCTGCTTTTTTTTGCTCTCTGTTTGCTTGGTAAATCTTCCTTCATCTCTTGATTTTGAGCCCATGTGTGTCCTTGCGTGTGAGCTGGGTTTCCTGGATATAGCACACCAATGGGTTTTGACTTTTTATCCAATTTGCCAGTCTGTGTCTTTTGATTGGGACATTTAGCCTATTTACATTTCAGGTTAATATTGTTATGTGTGAATTTGATCCTGCCATTTTGATGCTAGTTGGTTGTTTTGCCCATTGGTTGATGCAGTTTCTTCGTTGTGTCAATGGTCTTTACCATTTGGTACGTTTTTGGAGTGGCTGGTACTAGTGGTTCCTTTCTATGTTTAGTGCTTCTTTCAGGAGTTCTTGTAAAGCAGGTCTGGTGGTGATGAAATCTCTGAGCAACTGCTTGTTTATGAAGGATTTTATTTATCCTTCGCTAATGAAGCTTAGTTTGGCTGGATATGAAACTCTGGGTTGAAAGTTCTCTTCTTTAAGGATGTTGAATATTGGTCCCGACTCTCTTCTGGCTTGTACGGTTTCTGCTGAGAGATCCACTGTGAGTGTGATGGGCTTCCCTTTGTGGGTAACCCAACCTGTACCTCTAGCTGCTCTTAACATTTTTTCCTTCATTTCAACCCTGGTGAATCTGACAAATATGTGCTTTGGGGTTGCTCTTCTTGAGGAATATCTTTGTGGTATTCTCTGTATTTCTTGGACTTGAGTATTGGCCTGCCTTGCTAGGTTGGGGAAGTTCTCCTGGATAATATCCTGAAGAGTGTTTTCCAGCTTGGATTCATTCTCTGCATCACATTCAGATACACCTATCAAATGCAGATTAGGTATTTTCACATAATCCCATATTTCTTGGAAGCTTTGTTCATTTCTTTTTACTCTTTTTTCTCTAATCTTGCCTTCTCGTTTTATTTCATTGAGTTGACCTCTGATATCCTGTCTTCTGCTTGGTCCATTCAGCTATTGAAACTTGTGTATGCATCACAAAGTTCTTTTGTTGTGTTTTTCAGCTCCATCAATTTATTTATATTCTTCTCTAAGCTGTTTATTCTCATTAGCATTTCATCAAACCTTTTTTTCAAGGTTCTTAGTTTCTTTACATTGGGTTACAACATGTTCTTTTAGCACAGAGAAGTTTGTTATTACCCACTTTCTGAAGTTTATTTTCTGGTTTGGCTATTATATTGCTATTTAGACATGGTTAACTCTCTAAATCTTCTATGTCTTGCATTGTCCAGGCCCTAAAGGATTCTCCTTGACCAACACAGGATATACTGAGTGTGCGTGCGTGCATGTGTGCGTGCGTGCATGTGAGTGTGTCTATGAGAGAGAGGGAGAGAGAGTAGGTGTGTGTTTGTGTATGTGTTATATATGTATATTGTATATATACACAGGTAGATTTGTTAATTAATATATTTATTCATTCATTTAAAACTTGTCACTACTTGCTCCTCCAGTCTTTTTATATATTTCTCCCTTTTTAACTGCCAATTGTCAGGTAGCTAATAGCCGGGAGCAATGGATTAAATCCCTTATAATGAACTCTTCTGAGGTTCTACAGTATAAAATTTTGCTAAAGTCACACTTTGTTCTGAAGGCACAGAGATACTTTGTGTCATAACAAAGGCAGTGCCTAGTACCTACTATTAAGTTATCAATAACAAAAAGAAATGTTTCAGAAGATACAGAAAAGAGAAAAAGCTCTGGAGTTGAGACACATCTGGAATCAAGTTCTGTCTCTGTAATTTGACCTTAGGGAAGTTTCTTCCCATACAGGATGCTCCGTTCCCTCAGTTGCAAAATGAGGAATTAATATCTGACTTCATGCTTCTGTATGTATCTGATACCTAATCTTATGAGTAGCACAGTGTACACTCCTAGTAAATGTTGTTCTTCTACAGGAGTGGGATAAAAACAAGATTCATTCAGAATTCTGCCCCCTTTCCTAATTGGAAGAGGTTTACGTTAAAACCTTACCAGTACAGTTTACATTTATTTGTGTCTCTCAATTATTTTAGTTCAGTGTTTCTCAACCCTGTCAGCACATTAGACTACCTGAAGAGTCTCTAAAACATATTGATGTACAAGCCTTACGTAAAACTAGTCAAATTAGAATTCCTTTGAGGTGGGGCCCAACCAGTGGTTTTGTAAAACTTGCCTAGATGATAATGTCAGCCAAAGTTGACAACTGATCTTGTCCATTTGAGCAGAATCCGAAGTGAAACTTTTGTGGACTTTCCTCTCCATGGTGATAAGAAATTGATCATGCTTTTTCTTGGACCTCAGTCCCTCCGACTCTCAAGCTCTCTGCCCCATCTTATCTTCCTTTTTCACTAGGATTTCAAGTATTCAAAAGGTTCATGGTGAAAGTCTGCATCTGTTGATTCTGTTCTCCAAAATGTTGGGGCACAATTCAGGAAGAGAGGGAAAGGTTGATAGGTTATGAGATTATAGTACATTTGCTACCTGATGATACAATTAAACAAATTACTTGAAAGCTCAGCTCATCTTATCTTTTCCCCCACTATAATGCCAATTCTATATGGGTTATTTTTGTTCAAAAAGGCAGCAAAAAGATATTATAGCCAGAGAAACAGCGTGTTATTGCAGGTAACTGCTCTGCCGGAGAAACTGTGTTCTCCCTACCCTATTATTACAAATTCTAAGAAGGAAAAAGAGATTCCCTTTTCCTTCTTTAACTGGATAAGTAGAACATATTCTATAGGACTTGTTGATTATTGAAACTACTTAGAAATTGTAAAATTTGATTTACATCTGATACAGGGGGAATTTCATCATTTAAGAGACCACTTCATGATTCTGCCTCCTATTGCTTTGTGTTCAAGCTGGTGAGTCCGTTTTGGCCTCCTCTTTCTGTGGTGATGGGTATGCATATTCTTTTACTACAGTATGCTGAGATTTTTTTTAAAAATTTTTTTAAGGGCCTCATTGATTCAGAAACAGCCCCTCACCTGGCATATCATTTGTAATTTTTGTCAAGATTCTCACAGATGTTAAATGTAGTATGATAATACTTAGTAACACCCGGCCAGGCTATTACAGAATTACATTTATTTTAATTGATATATGATATAGTTGTCATAAAGAAAACAATCATGCTAATAGGCTTCTTACTACCCAAATTGAACATAGATCTCTATGGAAAAGGGTAGCAATTATAAACAAATCAATAATTCAGACACAGCTAAATAGAAAATACAGTCTTAGGAAATTGCTCCCTGAAGAGAAATATAATATTGTCATTCCTATATCACTGAACAAATGTATATAATTGGCAGTGTTGTGGAAAAAATACGAAACTTAGAGAGTTGGGTTAAAATTCCAGCTTTGCTGCTTCTTTTCTTTGTAACCTAAAGCAAGTTACATAACTTCCTAGTTTTGCCATCTGTTAGTCCACATGATGATACTTGCCACAAACTTTAATGAAAATCAATATAAAACACCCGTGTAGTGCCTGGTGGCATAGTTGACACTCACTAATTGGCAGTTCTTATCACAACAGAATCTTCGTTCTCTCTCCCTCTGAAGAAGAATTAGCCCTTCTCCTCTTCCAAATGCAGCTTTTCTGTTTATGGAAAATCATTATTTAGCAATTTGACCTACATTAGTCTATACTTGCCTACTTGATGTCCAGATCTAAGCTATCTAAATAAGATTTCCGGTAGAGAATAGAAAAAGATACAGCAAAAAGTCTAACACCTTTAATTTGGTTTCCTCTTAGATTTGTCAGCCATCTCTTCTTTGAGCTACTTTCATTTTATGTGGATCATTTTCTCATTCCTCCCCTTGCACTTTTCTTTGTTCCCGGAACAATTTGTCAGCGAATACTTCCCACCATATTTTTTGGCTCACTTTTCTTTTGAAAATTTACTTCCTTCAGAAAAATGTGTCCTTGGGATTAAGAGAAGGACATGAAGCAGAAATCAGCTTGTGTCACTCAGGCCTACGGAGGAAGTGGTCTTTCTCTCGGGATGAACAGCACTTCATACGGTGTAATAAATGAGATGGATGAATAAAGCGCTAATCTCCATTAGTGTCTCCACAGTGAATTTTACCATTGTGACCCTTGTGTCGGGGGCAGTTGTAAAAAGGACCCAGGTTTCTTTCTGGTTATCACATTTTTTTTTCACTTTAGCCCCCCTGTGGGCCCTAGAAATACACTCTCGAGATATTTTTCATTTCCATTTTTAAGTAGTGAAATAATCTTAATTAAAGAGAACTGGAAACACTCAAATATTGACATTGCTGTTTGAGGGCATACAAGGTCACTGACAACCCACAGCCTCACTAAAGACCATTCCACATGCTTCTCTGTGGTTTCCACAGACCCTTGGACTGCTCTCCTGGGGCTATCTTTGGCTGCCCAGTATTCTTGATTGCAGTACTAACCTGGGACGTTTTAACATAACCATGCGGCTCGACAAAACTTTTGAATTGCTCTGGGCAAAAGTCTTCCAAGTCAAGAAGGTCATGTTGTACATGATTATGATTGGAGAAGTCATTTTAGTTGGGCTGCCGTATGTCAGACATGATAAAAAATATTTCATTCTGTCAAAAGTAATAGTCTGTCAAAAAATATTGATTCAGCACCCACTATGTGCTGGGCCATGTGCTAGATTCAGATGTTTAGTTTCTACTTTCCTGAAGGGACAATTCTGGTAGGATCCAGAGGACAGGGCTAGCCTGCTTATTAAAAAAAAAAAAAAAAAAAAAAAAGTAATACATCTTCTTTTCCAGACAAGAAGAATGGCAGGGAGTGGCCTAGTGACATTAGTCATTATTTTGGTGTAACCCATGCCTCACCCCAGCCTTGTTTACCTTCTGATACTATTGAAAGATTAAAAGGTTGTACTTTCCCTACCTCTCCTTGGGATAAGAACCCTTTTAAGCTGTTAGTTAACCCAAATTAGGATCTGGAATACATTATCAAAGTAAATACACTCATGAAACAAAAGAAACCCCAACAAGCATTCGGTTTAACCCCAGTGTCAAGAATGCTTGTCTTTTGTTGCCAGACTAACACTGATAAATTATTCAAGAAAAACAAAAAGAAAACTCTATACCAAAAATAATGTTGCTCTTTATTATATCATTTTATTTTTCATATTATTAGGTATGTGTCACATGATCTCCCATTTTAAATGAAATTCCTTGTTTTTTCATTTTATGTTTTGCTTTGTTTTCAAATAGTATTTTAAACTGCTCCAAGATTGCTAGGTAAGATTCCACTCCTTTTGTCAGGAGGAATATTCCTTTTGTCATTAGGAATAACTCTAATAGTTGTAAAGTGACAGAGAAGAACTTTAGAAAATACATTTGTAAGTCAAAAAGAATGTCCTAATGTTTACTTTTGATTATTCACACTTTTTTCCATTCCATTATTTAAATATAGGTAACTGTTATTGTTTCTAACAAAATAGTACTAAACTGCTAAATCTATTCTTGCAAATTTTCCTTGTTTATATTTCCATCTTAAAAGTTATCCCTCTCCATTTCTAAATTTTATTTTATTCCTGGTTTCCTGGAATTCCCCATTACCAGATTTATGTTCTTATTGTTACATTTAGGGGGTGTTATGTTCTTTTGCTTAGAAATGTAATACGGTTTGGCTGTGTTCCCACCTAAATCTCATCTTGAATTGCAGCTCCCATAATTGCCATATGTTGTGGGAGGGACCCAATGGGAGATAATTGAATCATAATGGTGATTTCCCCCATACTCACAAGATCCGATGGTTTTATAGGGGTTTCCCCAGTTCGCTTGGCTTTCATTCTCTCTTGCCTGCTGCCATGTAAGATGTGCCTTTTACCTTCCATCATGATTGTGAGGCCTCCCCAGCCACATGGAACTCTGAGTTTATTAAACCTCTTTTTCTTTATAAATTACCTAGTCTTGGGTATGTCTTTATCAGCAGCATGAAAGCAGACTAATACATAATGGAAATGATTTTTACCCAAAATTTGATATTTAATTATTAAGCTTTTCTAAATACTTTCTTCTTTGCTCAACAGCAAAGAAGTTGTTGACATTCTTTACTGTTTCCTGGGTTATCCCAAGACTGCAGCAAAGGAACCTTGAAATAAAACACTGAGCAGTGACATCTCTTATCACTGTGTCTTGCTAGAATGGACTACAAATGTCAAATCTATTGAGAGGGACTTCTTAAAACATTCTTTCAAGAAAATACTACCACAACCAATTCGAATATTAACTCTAGCTTCACATTTAATAGCTTTTTAAAATTAAGAAACATTCTGACCTTCATTTAAAAGACGCATGAATCTGTTTTTGTGTGCTAACCCCTTAACTTTCTTACCCCTCAAAGTACATATATGTTATTGTTCCAAATTAGTTTTTATAGCTAAATAATAAATTTATATATTTAACTTTTAACTGAAAATATTAACTTTTTATCTTTCCTTTCCTCAATTTCTGTTAGCACTTCTGAAGTATATTGTCAAATTTTAAGTAGCTATGTTCAACATTAGTCTTGTGAAGCAGTTTTCTGTAGGAATAGGAAATTTGTCCCAAATCATATTAAGAGTCATTTTTCACAAAGCTCCTATCTTTAACCCTCATTACATAGTACCCTTGGATATGCAGGCTAAGCATTGTTTTCCATGTACTATGCAATGGTGTGTGTGTGTATATATATATATAAAATTATTGACCATTATCAGTATTATATCAGTGATGGTTAGTTCTAAATGGAGCTGGAATGAACACCAAGATAATTGCAATAATGCTAGACTTTAAGTATCCCAAACAAGAAATGATTTCCTAATGTTTAAAACTTCTTGAAAATAGGTATCTTGAGTGGTAGTGAGTTTTCTATTACAAGAACTATTAAAGCAGAGATAATATCCGAGGTAGGATGTGGAAAGAAGGAATGTTGGGTAGGGAATCAGCCTATATGATCTCTAAATTCCTTTCTAATCCTGGGGTTCATTCTAGACTGGTTTTATTATTTTTGTTTCATTCTTTACTCTGCATGTACATTCTACTGGCAGGGTGCTGGGGAAAGACAGAGATGGATGAGAGGTACTCTTGCATTGAGAAAGAAGATGTAGCCATGTAAAGTTTTCTACCTGTGGTATGTTGAGGCTCAAAGAGAGGACAAAATCATCATAGACTGCAATATCTGAAGAAGGATTTGTGGAAGGGGAGACATGGGAGAACAGAGAGGAGAAGGAAGGGCATTTGAGGTAGTACAACCCTTGGAAAGGCTCAGAGCAAGAACAGGTGTCTCAATGGATGCTTTTTATGCATTGGTTATTTTAAAGAAAGAACAGAAATCATCCAAAGTGATTACATGCAAACACGGAAAAATTTTTGAAGGAACTTTATGAAAATATTCTAGTTGAAAATTCAGGGTAAGTTCCAACTTTTATTGTGACTTTCCCTGTCTTATGCAGCATTCCCATAGTAAGAACTTCCATTAACATATAATATTTAAAAGGAAATATTACTTTGGGTTATCACCAGTAATCAAGTATCCAGTTAAATTAGAAATAAGTCAAATACAAATTTTTATAACAATAATAATAAAGATAAAATAGCTAAAATTTATTGGATGTTTTCGGTGGGCATTATTCATTTAATTTCCTTAGTATTCTACTTTAGGTAGGTACTATTAATATTCAAGCTTCTAGACATGGAAACTGAGACCTGGAGAGCTTCAGGTTTACATTATTTGTAACAGTATAGTGTGGATTAAGTCAGTGTCTTCCATAATCATTCAGAGGTCAGTGATATGTTTGTATTTATTATTAGTGACACTTTTTTTTTTCCAGCAGGATTTTTCCAGATGTTAGAGCCTTAAAAATATAACTAAATCCAGACAGCCATATTTGTTAATCTGCATATGAAAAAACATAGTAAAGCAGCTACCCCATGAGATCTAATTATATTCTTCTAGAACTTAATAGCTTGAATTTACTTATTCACTATAACTTTACCATGCTGATACCAAATATAAGTTGCATGCCATGATTAAGTGTTCTGTAGCTGAAAGGGGAAGACTGTCATTGATATTCAGTATGTTGATGTATTCAACAAATATCTTCCTAAAATGATTTCAAATGTGTATATAATTCTTCATGAGTTAAGATTTTTTCTTAATCCTCTTATAAAATTATTACAACTAATTATGAGAGAAGTAGTATTACCTGTTTTCAATAGATGAGGAAGTTGAGGCCTGACAGGTTTTAATTAATTTGCAAAACAGAAACCAACATCCCACCATTGCAGATGCAGATGACTTCTCAAATTTCTCTTCTTTTCTTATAAGACTTATTTCTTCATTTAAATAGTGATTTTAAAGCAATTTAAGGCAACATTAAATGAGATACTTTCATAGTAGCTTTAAAGTGTAGATATTTCTAGAGATACATAATTATACCATTTCCAGAAATGTAAGCAATTGCCATCTTAAATTCCTTTATTAACCCTGCACTCAGAAGTTCTCAGGGCTCAGTGTCATCATTCACCCTCACTTGCCTATTAACTTTTTTTTTCTTTTTTGAGATGGAGTGTCACTCTGTTGCCCAAGCTGGAGTACAGTTGTGTGATCTTAGCTCACAGCGACCTTTACCTCCTGGGTTCCAGTGATTCTCCTGTCTCACCCTCCCTAGTAGCTGGGATTACAACCAGGTACCACCACGACCTTTTTTTTTTTTTTTGTATTTTTAGTAGAGACAGGGTTTCACCATGTTGGCCAAGCTGGTCTCAAACTCCTGACCTCAAGTGATCTGCACATCTTGGCTTCCCAAAGTGCTGGGAATACAGGCATGAACCACTTTACACAGCCCCATTAACTTTCTTCTCCTGAGAGAGCCTCTCCAAGACTGTTCTCTGAGAAGTCAAAATCGGGTCCCTCTTCAGTGTGGCTTTGTGTTCTACCTACTCCATTCTCTAGCGTTAGTGTTCTTCATTTTCTGAGATATAATGAAAAGTAGGAGCAAAAAGGGAGAAAAAGCTTTAGAGCTGCATCCCTTTCTTTTAAAGTATCAAACCATATCTACTACTCCCAAGCACTCTTTTATGGGTTTACCTGCTCTTCAAGATAATTTTGTCCTCAGCAGCTGATGTTGGACTAAATCTACTTCACTACTTACTAGTTAATTAACCTACTTAAGACACTTAACATATGATTTATTTTGAAGAAAAACAACAATAAAAACAAAACAAACATCTTGCAACTTTCCTATTTAGAAAGTGAGAGTAACACTCAGAACACAATATAAATTCAACATTAAAATAATGCATTATATTGTACGTTTATCACTGATTAGAGTCACATTCTTGTATCCACTAACATTGACAGAGTTAAGCCTCTCCAGAAGGTCTTTCCCTTTTCATCTCTTAGCTGGACTTCCTTGGATAAATACCAACTTGCCAGTTAACCCGAGTTCAATTTATTCAGGAAAGGCAGAAATAGTACATACATTTTTTTCATTCATTTTCCAATTTTTAAAATATCGAGTGGTTTTGCATCATCTCATAAAGGTGATCAATGAAGAACTGTTGTTGTTTAATTCTCATTTTAAACTCAGTGATCCATTGCAATTTTTTTTAATTGATACTCAAATTGCCCTGTTTTTGGTAGTGGAGGCTTCTTCAAGTTGATTCCTGTTTCCTTCTGACATGGACTCATTATGTCAAGATACACCAGGCTCTTCCTGTGCACTTTATGCTAGAGACATGGGATCATCCATTTTTCTAAAAAACCCTGCGTCGTTAGATTGAATTTTTCCAATGCTGTGCTACATTTTGAATGTTACACCACTGTATCTTATGCCTTGTATTCCTCCAGCTTAAAACCTTTTATATTCCTTATCACAGATCCAGCCTTCTCATTACAACTCAGCAAAGTGAGCCCCTCCCCAACAGGTTTTAAAGCATCCTCATTCAAGGATTCCCAGTATACTAAAAGCTTATAGTTTCTTGAATCCAACACTCACTTAATCCCTAGACACATTTTCTACCTTTGGAGAAGCTAGAGGTGAGACTTGAGAAGAAGTAGTTTTACATTTTAGCTAGTCCATCAGCTTGCTAGGATTCCCTTCTGATTTTGTATCAAATTTTCTGCATTTGTTTTAAGTAAGTGTTGAAAATGGACCCCTTGGACCTAGTCATTTGGAAATAAGTAGAAAAGTGTTCAAACTGTATTATATTACATTTATGGGCTTTAAAACTTCTTTGTCCAGCAGTGGGAAATCTATTTTGCATTTAAAGTGCTTGTTGGACTCTCAGTAGATTAATTTTATCACTTAACATGATGACCAGAAGTTTGCAAAATACTGGTCTAGTTCAACTTCTCTCTCAATATATAAGTAAGAACTGGATCTGTCAGTGAATGACCTGCTAGAGAGTAGAAAACCGGTGGATTTCCTTGGTACAAAATCAGCACTGTTCTCAAGGTGGAAGGTGCCAACCTTCCCAAGCTCATCAGATCCCACACATTCACCTTATTAGCTATAAAATCAGGGGTTAATATTCCTTCCATCTCATATTTTTGAGAGGCAAAGAACCAGACAGTTTTCCCGGATAGTTTCACTGTAGGATAGATATTAAATGGAACTTTCTCCTTAGACAAAAAGACCGTTTTATTCATCTAATTTCCTAATTAAGTAAATCAAACTTACTTTTAACTTAAATATTAAACTGTTAATTTTCACCCTTATCCTAAAACACTCCCTTGGGCTTGTAAGACTCAATCACCTAGAATTTATCTGTCAAATGTGTTTCTTTCCTTGGGTTTATCTGCATGACATTAAATAAATACTTTGAACTTTTCAACTTTTCAAACAATTGTCTTGAGTTGACGTGGCTGATCCAGCCTCCGTGCCTCTGTGTGTAGTGTATGCCAAATGCCTGAAAGTGACTTGGCTTTCATTGAAAATGTCTGAGTGCAGGCAGAGAAAGTATTTTAAAAAAACTAAAAATTAGGAATAAACAGAAAATTCACTCTGTCTCCAGGAAGTTATGGTACTTTTTGATTTGCCTTATATATACATATGTGCTTTTCAAATGAACTATGTTCATACTGATATAATATACATTTTGCCTGCCAAAATACTTTCATATGGTAAATAATTCTTAGAAGCAGAAGAAAAATATTGTGCAGAAAACTAGCTAAGTACTGTTTGATGATTGAGACTTGTGTATTTTTAATCGTCTCTATTTCTTTCTTAGGTTAAATTTCCCTGGTTTCCTCTTCCTACTTACTATCTCTTTCCTCACATATGGCTCTAGGAGCTTCTCCAAGAAAGCAGTTTGCTTTGAAGATATTTTATTTCTACTCATAAAGGATTCTTCTGTTCTACTATTAGAAATAAAATCACAATAAAATCCTAATAGGATCCAATCCCTTCCTTGCCCTTTGTGTGTTTGGAAATCTCTCCGAAGTCAGCCTTATAAAGTCAGATTTGGAGGTTTGAAGTCCAGAGATATCTCTCTGGTGTTCTGAGGACCAGGCACTTGTACAGAGAGCACCTCATGACCAAGGTGCAAGCATACAGAATTGTACTTTCTGAATACGCTAGGAGAGTGTATATTTGAAATTTTATTTCTATCCTATAGTAACCAATTAATTTTTTAATGATTAACATATTATTACACACATATATTTTAC